ACCAGAAAACAATTAAAATATGAATAATCGGAAACATATCTTTGAATATGGAATAGTAAAATTTTCGATTGATATATTCCGTATTTCTTCCATTTTTGTACATTCTCGAGTAATTGTCAATGAGATATTGTATATAAATAAAGATATTAATGGTAAATAAGTGATAATGATAAAAATTTGCTTTGTCGAGGAATTTCTTTACGATGAGATTAAAATATAAAATAAATAAGGTTAAACAAAAAATAGATTAAACAGACACTTGTCTGTAGAGATGTAGAAGAAGCTATAGGTGCTTTCCAATTGCAATATTCCTAGACACTTTCGTGCACACGGCGACACAAGTTGAGTTCCAATTGTCCGTTATCGTCGATACTACACTACACATCTGTACTGTCGAGGGCTGTGTAAGCTTATGTTTTTTAGTGACAATTACATGTTACTAACTGTGGCGGTTATAAATGAGATTGGAGAACGTTGAGTGACCGGCACCTTAACTTTTTTTTGTTTAATACAGGCGGAAAAAGCTACATTTAATCTAACTCTATCCGAAACGGATCTCAACCGTGCATAGCGTACACATTCTGTTTCAATTGAATCATGCACACTGCACAATGTTACATTTTGTGCATTCCTGTACGTTTGTATTAAGATGTGTTAAGCAATTGAAAACACTCTTTAATACTTAAAAGGATGCTGGAGTGACCAAATTGTCGGGACTTTAAAGATCGATATGAATTTCCGAATTTACTGAACGAAATCAAAAATCCTTTTACAGGATTTAAGTAGACGCAAAATTTGGTGATGCTGCAATAGATTTTATACTAAAATCGAAAAAAAGTTAAAAACTTACATTTTTTCAACTCGTAGTCACCTGACAGCTTTCCTAGATATTCCCTTAATACAAAAGTTTATAGCTCGTATAAACCAAACGATAGTGCAGCACCAAGCGTATTACATGTACAAACAATACCGAGTTTATGAAACAGATTAAAGGCTTAAAAAGAAAGATTTATATCGATCTGCAAAGGATGTGTATACGAACGCTGAGCAAAGATTCGGAATGGTAAACAAAGCAATAATTGTGTCTAGCAGTAGGTGTTCGATTTTCTAAAAGATGACGTTGCAATATGTTAGATAAGGATGAATTGCGTTTGAGTGAGACACAACGATATACATATAATAAATACAAGAAATGAATGAAAGATGCCGCTATTATCGAATTTAGAATTAAAAAATGTCTGTACTACCAACCTCGATCAAGTTCGGCCGTCCCTCCAACATCCTAAGGACCAGTTACACAACTCTTAATCGAGGTTCAACTTATTCATTGGCTCTTTCCAATTCTACAATTGGAAAGAGATGAAAAACAAGTTGAACCTCGGTTAAGAGTTAACTATGAGTTGTGGAACTGGACCAGAGGATTACAAAGGTGTTTGTTTTATCGGTTAAATACAACAATTTTCGTAAAATAATATCACATTACTTCGTAATTTTTTTTGCAAGATTTGAAAATCCTTTTCCAGAATTAAAGTATACGTATTAACATTAGTCTGTAGTGTGGAATTTGTGCCGAAAATGATAAAATTTTTTTAAGTGACCCTACACATATTCAATAATAATACTGATCAATAATATTGAACTAATACTGATAGTATGCATAAATATTTTCAATATTTCTGCAATCTTACATTAGTATTGATTTCACTTTAGTTTTACATGCATTTCCTATTATACTGTGACATACTGTGACATGGATCCTAATAAAACGATACTGACGCTTAAGAATCAAAATCTAGATCACGTCAGTATTCTACGTCAATCCATCAATATTAATCACACACAATCAGTAATATTGTCAGTACTTGTTAATACTGATAGTATTATTGACCGTCTAGGGTCACTTTTAAAATTGAAATCTTCTTTATACACCATTTCTTAGTCCAGTTTCTTAGTCCGCTTGAACTGTCAAGTCATGACAATATTTGTTTGATATAAAATTTCGGTAAAACTGCAGAAAAAGGGAGCACCTACCGACGACCTTGACTTTGACATATGTTGTCAAGGTTATCACCCTAAGTAACCTCCAACAAGTTTAAGCTGTCGCTTGCTGTCCATTAAAAAGTAATTAACAAAAAAAGTTTAAAAAATAATGTCTTATTTCTGTTATAACGAAAGTTATAAACCTATATAGAATCTCGCTTTGTGTTGAAAAGTGTATGTGTGGATCCAGTGGAGTGAAAGTCGTTTCGCGTTAAAAATCCTAACCCTAACCCAACCCATTTTTTGGTGTGAGGTGGCCCTCATTTCGCGTGGAAGGTTGTAAATCCATGTCGTTTCACGTTAAAAAACCTAATTCAACTCTTATTTTTTATTTTTGCGTGGAAAGTTGTACACTCAAGAAGCAAAGTTCTACTAGGTTTACAACCTTCCACAATAAGGGCCACCTCGCACCAAAAAATAGGTTGAGTTAGGTTTTTTTTTAACACAAAACGACCCCCCCCCCTCTCTATTTGGGGGCGTACGACTTCCACGCGAAGCGACTTTCGAAATCGTG